GGAATGAGGTCATTTGAACCGCTGGCAGTGATACAGCAGAAACTAAGGCAGAGTACGGAAACGGGAAAAAATGAATTTGAAAACGATAACGATACTAAAACTGTTTGCAAAATTTTGCATACTTATTGTGAGATACACTTAGCAGTATCGCCAAATACTGAAAAAAGCGGTCAACATGTGAAGTAAAAGGTCAGCGAGAAAACCCAATAAAATTTAAAATTCTAGTTATTAGATGCACCTCATTTACAACAACCAAGCCGGGCTCTCGTTTGCAAAAAACAAATTTTAGATTCCGGGCTGCATGAACCAAGGCACCTTCGTCAGGCGACGACGCATGATAAACCAGTTTTCTATCTTTTCGTTTTTCAGGTGTAACGGTATGACATATGGCCAACATGCGTAAAAATTCTTTTAAGTAATCGCTCGACGTCTAAAAGTTGTTTAGAGTTTGTCATTTGTTTTTGAGTGATGTCCACATTTAAGGTTTATTACAACATAAAAGTTTTCAAAAGGCATTAGTAACTTACGGAAAAATAAGCAATTAGTTTGCAGTAGAAACAGAGAAAGTAGAAATTGGTTTCTGTGCAGCAGAAACTGTTAATTTCTTGATTTTTCAAAATTTTTTAGAAAGTTGCTAGAAATTGTTTAAATGTTTGCCCTATTGCTTATTGTTACAGTAGAAAGAATTGAATTATTTCAACGAATTTAATGAACGCAGAAAATGATGGCTGTCAGAGAACAGCGATGTCAATACCATTTTCCAAATTATGCCAATACTTTGTTGAAAAATTTGTTAAAAATCAAAAAATGAATTCTTGAAAAAACTGAAACAGATAATGTTTTTGGTAAAAAATCTGCTTATGCACACTTTTGGGGAAAAACCTTCAGTTTTTATTTATAAGTTTCTTTCTTAAGAGGTGCATATAAAATGAAAAAAAAATTTAATAAAAAAAGTTATAAAAATGAATATTTTTTTCTAAACTTTTTTTATATTTTTGATTTTTTTTTTATTAAAAAAATACAACAACAGAATTTTTCAATTTTCTTCTTTTTATTTCTTTTACTTATATTTTCCAACTTTTTCCAACCTTTTTAATCTTTTCTTAAACTTTTTCAATATTTTTTTTATTGCTTTTTTTTTTTGATTTATTTTTTTCTAATTGCTTCAAATGCTTTTTTTTTTTGGTATTTTATTTTCTTTTTTGAAAGTTCTTTCTTCATTTTATATTTTCTTCTTTTATTTTTAGGCTGATCTTTGTCAAAACAAAAGTTTTGACAAAGACCATAATCCTTTTTTTCACGAGCATTTACGTTTTGCGGTTTTCTCAAACATTCAGTTATGGCACTTCCATCAAATTCTTCGGTTTCGTCACTGCCATAGCCGATGCCCGCTACAGAACACTTTTTAAGCCTCATTACATTCTGAGTCAATGTTCCGGTCTTATCACACATCACAAAATTGACCTAAAAATCCTTATGTCAACGATTGAAAAAAAAAAAAAACTGGAAATGAAAATGTGCACAGTAATATTCAAAAGTTGCCAAATGTTTAGCAGTTCTATAAAATCTTTTTATAACAGTATTATCGTCCTAAAATAAAAATTCTCTTTTCAGCAATAAATTTAGCTCATTTTTTGAGCAGTTTTTACTTTCAAGAAGTTTCATGTTTTTTTTTCTTAAAATATTTTTGTAAATATTTTTTGATTATGAAAAAAAAAGAGATCATCAATTTAGGTGCAGTATCAGCGTGTTTCTTACAAGGGTTGTTATGAAAACTGTACGACTTAGGTCTTCTGGTGATGTATCGACAGCCTTTCAATATTTTTTAACTACTGCTACAAAATCTTGACTACTGACAAGTTAAGTTTATTAAGTAGGAATGCAATAAATGAATTTCTTATAAAAAACAAGCAAATACTGCTCGATTTTCAATTGATGCAAAATCTTTCCATTACAGACGATAAAGTAATCGGAAGTTGAACTATGAGTAAACATAAAAATAGCGTTGTAGCAGCAACATCTCGTGCTAAACGCTCTAGCTGGTTGGCTTCCTAATTCCAAAGTTATACTAAATTTCGAATATATTTCTAGAAATTTTCCTAATTATTCAAAACTAACTGCCTTTTTTGTAAATTTTTCTTAAGGTTCTGTTTAGGCTCATTTAAACTGCAGAAAATCAAGGTACTGAAAAAAGAAGGAAGACCGGCTGTAGGTACGTTGTTTAACGACAGTTTCAATACGTTTATAAACCGCCTATTTCATGCTGTTTCACGCATTAAGCAGGAATAACTGTGAAAGTTTGTTGATAAGAGGAAGAAGTAAACCTTTCCTAACTCCTCCATTAAATTAGATGTCCTTGCTACTGCAGGAGTATTTGAAAAGTCATCGCACATTTCCAAATCCTATAAAGAGTATTTAAGTGATGTAAATAAATTTATTAGTGTTATACGAAAAAGAGACTACTAAAAAGTAATAAAAAGACTGATCTGCTTACGTTGTTAATGTACCAGGCTTGGAAAAATCGAATCATTTCTAACGTGGCCAGTAACGATATCGGCAATAAATTATTGTAGAGAATGAAAAATGTTATTACATTGTAAAAAACTGACTTTTCGTTTCCTAAAACAAATAACACTACAAAATTAGCCTCTTTCATTTATTCTCTATTCCATAACATTTGACAACGGTACGATGAGAATAAAGCCAGGTTTGCACTAAAATAAATATTGCTCTTGAGAACGTTTGCTTAATTATTATAAAGAGTGAGAAAAAGTGGTACATCATAAAGTTCAAAAGTGATTCCTCAAACATGTAGAAATTGAAAAAAACAGTCCTTTTTCATCACTAAATAATTAGCAATTCACAGATAACGCTACCAGTAATGCATTATGACAGAGCATCATTAAAAAACTATAT